CAACTGCGGTTTGCCACTCATCTACAATTCGCGCTCCTAGAAGACCACCCATGCGACTGCCTTATTAGGATTCGGTCCGAGTTCATCGGCAGCGGCGAAAACTACAGTGCCTCTGTAGTTCCTCTGTTTTTGGTTCCATATCAGTGACTCTTCAGGCACTTCATAAAAAGAAAATACTGCATTCCCCACATCTAAGCATACGGGCTTGTGGCTCAATTGGATAGAGTGCTTGTAAGTCTTTGACAATGACAAATCTTCCCTGCAGTGACTAGTATACTAATCAGATATTTAACTCGCAGGACTACGATAATCGGGTATCAAGAGGTTCCAGGTTCGACCCCTGGCTAGCTCATTTTTTGGCATCAGTCTACGCAGAGAAACTTCCAGGACCCGCTTTTTTTTCAGCACGCTATGGTACCGAAAGCCATCAACATCAATACCTCGATCAATGATGGCATTCTTTCTTCCTTGATGCGGCCAACTTCAGTTAGTCAGAGTGCGCGAGATACGCAAACCACATCCCATTTTCTTCCAAACCGGTCCTCGTGATGACTACTGAAGGCCTCCTACCTTCCTCAAAGTCAAACGTGAAAACTCGCCGTCCATTTCGGGGGTTGAAGGCAACAAATCCAAAAGAACAGAGCTAGCATTGCAGGACCTCTGTCAGACTCACTCAGTAAATATCAGTGACAACAGGTCAGCATCCTCACTCACGAAACTCGAAATCCAAGTCTTGCTAGGCACACTACTCTCTTTTAATTTGTTTGCTCAAAGACTGTACATCTCTATGAGGAAAAATTACACAAAAACAAAGTGCACGAAAAAAATGAGTATGGTTGCATGCAGTTGGTTGTTTTACAAGGGAGATTCAGGTTGATGGTTTTGGTGGTTTGTTGGATCCTCTCTTCTTCCTTCCTTCTGACCAAGTACATACATCCCCACGTTCAGCGCATGGCCCGCATGTGCCTTTCGTGCCATCACATTTCTTCTTTCGCCTATTGGAGGTAGAAGCGAGAACAAGGTGAGAATTTATGATTCAATAGCGCGTGACACATGTCAGCACATGTCATGATAGCATGTACACATGTCAGCACAAGCCATGATAGCATGTACACATGTCAGCACATGCCATGATAGCATGTACACATGTCAGCACATGCCAACTACGAGATGCTGCTCTACATTCTAATACAGGTCGCTGGCGTCAACCACTGCATAATATTCTTGATTCTGTACGTCGTCCACAAAACAACTTCATTCAACCTGCAATCTGGTCCAAACAGACCCCACTTCTTTGGGTGCACAGGGGAGGAAGCAATGTCGCAACACGACACTTCTCGGCTTTAACACGCTTCCAGTGCACGATACTTCCACCTCCACAAAGAGCGTAAAAATCTCGGTCAGACATACCTTCGGCATCCGTCACAGGCAATGGTAACCACTTCACCATTAGATTGCTTCCATACTGTAAACATGGTACTCTTGGCAGGGTCAGTTCCGTGTTTTGTTGAGACATATGGTGGTTGATAAGTCACAGGAGATTCTTCCATCCAGCCACCACCGCCATAATGCGGGTCACTACTATAAGATTGCTGTTGTTGTTGTTGTTGTTGCAGATTTGGATTATAATTTGGATGTAGATGTTGATTTTGATTATACATTTGTTGTTGCTGCTGTTGTTGCTGTTGCTGTTGTGGTGGTGGGAGTTGTTGCTGGTGGATTGAACCAGCCATTCCTGCAGGATGCCTATTACTACTGCTTGTACTGCTACTACTGCTGCTTACTGGAGCTTCCTGTCCAGCAAATGTCACATAGCCCATCCTACCAAATGGAGCTGGTTGTTGAGGGTAGATATTGCCTTCCATTAGTGCACCACCTGAGCCAGCCGATGATGCAGCTAGAGAGCTCGTTGATACACTTGATTCTTCCCAGTCCATGGCTGCTGATGATGATGCTGGCGATGATACACCAGGAGATGATATGTTTGGTGATATAGGTGATGTAGCCATACCTCCAAACACCTGACGATGCTCTGGAGAGAAGGGCGAAGATACAGATGGTTCAAATGGAGGCTCTAGTACAGGTGGTTTGCCAGCCAAACCAGGTGCGGCTAAAAAGAGAAATCATGTCAATAAAAACACCTAAGTCTGCCGAGGCAATCTGGCTAGCAACATGTGTACAGTCTTCAACAGTCAAGCTAATCGGCATAGCAACAGAAGTACGCACCCCATGTTATTATTGGAGCCATGTTTCCAGGTCTAGATTCCGTTCTTTGCGGTAGAGGTATAGTCGGGCCTGGTAAGTATTGGCGATTCGCTATAAAAGGATCACGCTGGAAGAAGAGCAGGATTAGAGGCGGTTCCGTTCAAGAAAGTCATCTGGATGGCAAAAGAAGAGTGATGCTGCATCAGCTTAGTCCTTTTGACTGACCTTGGGTTGCGAGGATTGTTGCATGTGAGACTGCTGGTGACTTTCATGCGGGAGAAACCTCTCACTGGCAGGCCTTCTAGATTGAGGAGGCGGTGGATTGCTTATAGGTACGAATTCCGACTTTGCAAGACAAGAAAAAGTGGAGGTTTTTAGTAAATGGAGATGAAATGTCAAAAGTGCGATGCCATGTCGCCCGCACAAGATTACAAGCCTAATTACCTGTACATCGGAAAATTGCCTGGCTCTATTTGAATACATCCTATTAGGGAGCATGTTTGAAGGAGCCAACTCCATGTTGGGTCGTAACAAGTCGATTGATGGCAGATGCTGGGGCAAGGCTGTGTTGGTTGTTGGAAGAGGTTGACGTTGGGAGTTGGGGTCATCCTTTTGAGGATGGCTACTACCTTCCATCTGGAAATCTGTGCACCATACGATGTTTTAGGCCTTTATGTGTCTTTCTTCAGGATTTCCTATTTCAGCTTGATTTGGTTTGTTGTTTGTGGGCGTTGACTGTGCCAAACAAAAGCAAGACGATGTTCTTTCCAGAGTACAACTGCTAGGGCGGAGGACCCAAGACAAAAACTAACTCGGAGCACTTGTACTAGTCCAGCTATTGCACAATGCCTCGATCTCCTTCCTTCCTGAACGCTGCAATGCACTTACTTTTGCTCGCTTTGCCCAATTTCACCAATCCTCGAGAAGATCTAGACGCTGAAACCGAACATTCCACCCAATCATTGTCGAGCAAGGATGAACTGGAGGCTCGTGGTATCCCGCAACACCGAGCTGTGCATATATACACGCACACATCGTTTCACTCAAACAAAACCACAATCCTTCCGCGGCAAATATAGAATAGTTACTCTAACAAGAACGAAGGCAAAATCAAACATAAGTTTCATATTCTTTGATTTTGGTGCTGGTGATTATCGGAACTGGTTTGTTTTTTCGGTTGTAATGGCTCTATACCATGGAGCACCGTCAGCCGCAGGAACACTGCATCTCGAAACACGAGGCAGATCTGTAGAATATACTCTACTATTGTGCAGATGTACATCCATATTGTAAGAAAGCCCTGCGCTTGTGGTTGTGGTAGTAGCTGCTACCACAACGTCGCAGCTTTTAGATGCTTCCAACCAAAGGACAGATCAGAACCTAGATTCAGACCAAAAATTTACTAAGACTTGTAACTATTGATCAAACAGGCCAAACAGCAAGGTAGTGCTGGCTTCAGTTCCAAATCCGGTATTGGTGCGCGCTCTACCACTCTTTTTGTATAGCATCTTAGTCGTAATTTGTGATTTTTGCGCATTTGTATCCGCTAGCAGCTAGATGCTAGATCCATAGTTCAAGCGCTGGTTGCTGGTTTCTTCAACCGTCGATGGGGGAAAAACGATTAGGCACGGGAGGGGGTTCTTCCAAGGGAGAGATTCTTCCTTCCACACACCCAAATTTTGTAATCGGCAAAGCACATCAGGCAAAGCACATCGCATGAACTTGAGTGCCATCTCAAACATTAAATCGTTCACATAGTCAGTGCTTTAGGTGAGCGACCGTCTATTGAAATTTCTCGTTTTGAACCCCGCAATTAATGTTTTCATTTGCCCTCGTTTAATCAGACATACTAAAACACACGCTTCCCAAAGCTTCCTATAGGCAATATACCCTAGAAATGGAATCAGATCACATCGTCGAAAAGGGGCAAGTCGCACCCGAATCATTAAATGTCGATGCTGGAAGCCCAGTTGAGCACCATACCCCAAAACAACTCGGGCTAGTCTTCGTTGGTCTTGCTTTAGGTATGTATCTGCATGTTTCCTTTAAGAATGCTGGATCGCAATATTGTCTTGCCCCTTTGCGGTTCGAGTTTGCATCAACGTGGTTCTTTCAACAACTGGGCTTTTTCACAACCGTTCCCATATTCGTGGCTTTAGTCTAACCGTTTTCGTTTTAACCAGCTATATTCGTCGCTTCTATCAACGGGACGATAGTTGCAACGGCCTTACCGGTGATTGCCAATGACTTGAACGGGTTGTCTTCTCTCGCTTGGATTGGTACAAGTTACCTCTTGACAAGTACAGCATTCCAGCCACTCAGTGGTGTACTCTCTGATAGTAAGTGGGGTCATTGTTCTGTTATTCGAGTGATTTCGACCTTTCTCATCTTCGACTGCGATTCTGAGCACTCACGATGTATTTTTAACTACCACCAGTCTTTGGCCGTCTGTATACCTTCCTCGGATTCATCGCATTCTTCGTCCTGGGTTCCGTGCTATGTGGAGCAGCAAACGGGATTGGAATGATGATTGGAGCAAGGCTCATTCAAGGCGTGGGTGGAGGAGGCCTTATCTCACTGTGTATGATCATCATCGCTGATATTGTAAGTGCAATCATCATGGCAAACGTCTCGCCGGGAACATTGTACTGACTGGTACACATTAGGTGTCGATTCGAGACCAAGGCAAATATCAAGGCATCATAGGTGCCACGTCAGCTCTCGCTATGGTTATCGGACCGCTCGCTGGCGGTGGTATCGTTGATCACACGTCATGGCGCTTGATATTCTATGTGAGTCGCAAGATCTACGTCACATGAGCTCTGCATTTGAGTTTATCGCCAGATGGTGTGGCACTTGTCTCATCGTTACTCTTTGATTAGGTCTTTCTCCCAGTGATGGGGTTTTCCTGTGTCGTGCTAATAATGTACCTGAGAATCCCTATACCTCAAGGAGCTTTGAGCTCTAAAGTCAAGAAAATCGACTTTCTCGGTGCCCTTGTCTTGTGCGCCAGTACTTCCATGATCCTTCTCGCCCTCTCATGGGGCGGTTCGCAATACAGTTGGAGCAGTCCCACTGTTCTGTGTTTGCTCATATTCGGATTTCTGCTGTTGGGTGGATTTGTGTTGGTGGAGGTAACGTGTAGCTCGCATTGCAAACCGAAATGTGACAAACAACTCACAAATTTCGCGAGAATAGGCCAAATTTGCTACGCTGCCGATCTTGCCTGTATACCTGTTTCGAATTCGAAACTTTTGGACTAGTAATGCCATCGCGTTCGTCGCTGGCTTCTTCATGTATGGTGCTATCTATTTTGTACCACTCTACTACCGTAACGTACATGGTTATGATGCCACAGCAGGGTATGTACCTGATGTGAAGGGTTCTATCCTTTGGAAGACCTCCCTCAAAATACTCGAGCTAACTTTGTCGTGTTCAACAGAGGATTGTCACTCTTGCCATTGATGCTCTCGTTGGTGTTTGCTAGTATGATTGGTGGAGGTTTGACCTCTCGCTTCGGTGTGGTTCGACCATTCATTTGGATTGGAACGGTCCTACTTGCCGTTGGCAGTGGTCTTTTATCTACCTTAAATGAAAGCTCGGTAACATCTCATCCCTCTGGATACATTTCTCATATCTGTCTCCTAATCTTCTTTCGTTCTCTTAGCCACGAGGTGTTGAGATTATTGTGTTAGTGGTTGCGGGTCTTGGGCTTGGACTCATCATCCAGTCAGCTCAAATTGCAGTACAGGCGTCAGTCGAAACCAAAGACATGGCTACTGGTACTGCAGCAGTCAGTTTCTTCAGGTGAGGCGAATCTTCATACTTTTTTTTGTGTCGAGAGCAGTCTCTCATCATTCTATAAACTCATTCCTTCCATTTCGTCGTCTCTTAGGAACTTTGGTGAGTGTTGAATATGTGTAGCTATCAAGTTTATGCAATCGACATACTCGGAATTGATCGACTGCAGTCTGGATGTGTGGTTTTTCCAACATGAATGTTGAAACTCGCAGCTCATCATCCCGTTTTGTTTCTCCAAAGGTGGCGTTCTCGGTGTCGGAATTTCAGCAACAATCCTACAAGATCGTTGGTCCAACTTCCTGATCCAACAATTCAACACGAACGGCATCCCATTATCTGCATTAGCTAGTTTGGACTTATCGGACGTTAGCACCATATCCCCAGACCTTCGAGTGCTTGTTATCCGTGCCTTCATCATGGCGATGAACTATATTTGGTACATCAGCTGTGCAGCTAGCTGCATTGGTGTGTTCTTTGCTCTGTTTATCAAGTATGTAGAGCTCTCGAAGGCTGTACCTGCCGAGATTGTGCCTTCTACTGGAAGTCAAGTGGAAGTTGTATCAGAAGCATCATCGGCAAAAACATGAACAAGGCAATTTCATTTGTAAAATATCAAACTCTGTTTCATTCTTCACCTAAAGCAAAAATCGTAAACGTAAACTGAAAGTATTTGAAGTTGACGCGTCATCCATTTAGTTTTCCTCCGACACGAATTGCACAGCGCGCAGTACGCATACAGCCTTTTCAGATGCTCGACTCCTGAGTCAGCTTCCTGTCCAAATGAAGAACCAGATCATATCCAGTGTGATGACGACAAAAGGATGAAGCCTGCGGAAACCATGGCGTGTCCAAATGCTAACCAACAATCAACAAAATGCTATTCATCCCTCCAACTGGGGCGTGGAAGCTTGTTGCCTCAATATTCAAATTCGAGTTTTCCGCAAAACTTGCACGAATGGAGGCGTTCTCAAAGGCTGATCAGCATTGTAACCTCCAAGATCGAATGTGCTGCTCCTTTTTGACTTGATGTCTTGAATGCTGGTCGACATTAACAAACTGCATCAAGCATGTCATCAAGTGCGACACGCACAAATTGTTTTGGAGAATTCCCAACCAATTTGGCTATGCGGTCGCCCTATGCTAGTAGTCAAAATTTGATCATTGAGAGTCAACCAACCATGAAGATATGTCGGCAGCTCTGCACACTGCCTTATGCAAAAGTGATCGTCCACACAATCCCAACCTCACCAACAGACATAACACTACACACAAATTTGAATATTATCAACCACTCAATTTAATCGCAGTCTACTTTAACTACAAAATTCTAAAAGTGCAATATTACTATTCCCACTGCAAGGGACTTATAGAGTGTATCTCCATTTTTGTTCCTCAGTCAACTCAGCACCACTGGCAACAAGTGCAGCGTTTCTGGCATCGATTTTTCGGTTGGCCAAGACGTATGTGAGACGGACAATTATGGCAAGCTATTCGCAGGAGGGCAGTATCAGTATCAGAAACTATTTCGTTCGACAATGACAAGAAACAATGACAATCACGCAAAAACAAGGTACTTACGAAGGCGGAAGCAAGCAACAAACCAGCGTTAATCGAGTTACCAATTGGGAAGTGAGGAGCATCGGCAGCCCTGTAAATCTGACCACCAATTGCGCCGGAAATACCACCAAGGCCATTCATGAGGCCCATAGCAAATCCACGAGCAGTGTGAGATTTGTGGTTGTTGGCTACCCATCCGTGCAAGAGAGATACGGTCGCAGAATAAGCTGCAAGTGTGGGTTTGTGTTAGAATGTGTTTCAAACATCTGAAGAATACACACAATCTTTGATTTACCTGGGACGACAAAGAGCATTCCATATGCAACGGAAGGAGGCGACCACACTGTGGCCATGATCACGAAGGCGATACTGGTTATGAATAGACCGCAGATGAGGATTCCAGATCGGTCACGGATGCGGTCCGAGATGTTTGATAGAATGATCAAGACTATGGTTGAAACAATCCGTTAGTATACATACACAAAACGTATTTTCTTTGAGCCGTTGACACAATCAAGAAGAACATGCCTATGGCGTTCCAGAGCGTGGTTGGAACAGTCATCCATTGCGAGGCGACACCAGTGTATCCCAGGTATGCCAAAATAGTAGGTTGAAAGTATGCAATTGCGTATCTAACCATCAAAAATCACGATTTAGCAAGACTGATTAGAAATGTTTGCTTAACATTCAACCAACATTGGTCCACGTGGTCAGTATATCGACGCATGCTTTCGCCAACAAGTCAAACAAGTTACAGCCAAAGTTATAAGGAGATGAATACTTACTGAGGAGTAATACCCATCAAAAAGACAGCCGTCTGAACCCACAATTGCCATTCGCGCAAAACGGGCCAGATTTCGTCTCGCTTGAAGACTTTGACGGCGGCATGGGCAGGGTCGACTACATTAACTTGTTAAAACCATGCTCTCATGTCGGTAGCAAGTCATTATTCACACAAGTTCATACCTCGAAGACGAGTAACTGCAATTTCACGTTCACGCTCAGACAGGAACTTGCAAGTTTCAGGATAGTCGGGAATCAAGAAATAAAACACAATTCCGAGAATGACTGATGGGAGACCCTCGAGCAAGAAGATCCATCTCCAAGCGGCAAGACCACCTTTACCATCCACTAATGAGAACAACAAGATGATATTCAGCAAAACGCACCAGGCCATTGGAAGGAAGAAGACGACAATGCAGAACTTACTGTAGAAGACACCAGTGGCAATCAGGCCAGAGAATGCAGTAGCAAATGAAGCACCGCCATAGAAGAATGAGATACGACCAGAGATTTCAGATGGCTTGTACCAGAACGTCAGCCAGAAAGCAACTCCAGGAAACAGGCCCGCTTCGGCAGCTCCCATGAAGATACGGATGGTCATCAAAGCTGCATATGAACCAGATGCAGCCATGCATGTTGAGAAGATACCCTATCAAGAGCATTTGTGATTAGGAACAACCCAAGATTTGCAAGAGCTACAAGGAACAAGCTTTGGTAGCATACCCAAGTCAACATGATACGTGACAGCCAGACAGAAGGACGGAATCGGATCAATGCAAGGTTGGAAAACGGTTCAAGAGCACAGTATGGGACAAAGAACATGGACAGCACCATGTTGTAGTCGTTCCCGCTCATGCCGTTATCCCTTTCCATTGCGCCGAGCCCAGTCTTGGTATCCAAGGAGTATGCACGTGCATTTCCAATGTTTACTCGATCTGTGGTGTGAAGTGTGAGTCAAGCAGACGCAAAGGGTCTCAACACACAAAACCACATACCAAGGAAGGCAAAGATGTACATGAACAAACTAGGTTGGTATATGTGGTATCAGAAGGTTTGCTTGGTGGGGCATGCTTGTCAACGTGTAAACCGAAACCAATGGCCGTCAAACGTCGGGTTTTTTTGAAGGCAGACACTTACGCTAATGGGATGACTGTCCTGTCAATGTGGAATCGTACAGCTGCCTCCTCTTCAGGAGACCAGTCTAATTAGAGAAAACAAGTTTGGCTGGTGAGTGGCAGGCTTCCAGGTTTGCGTGGTCAATAGCAACTTACCGATGCTGTAGACCTCTTGGGTCTCATCTATCTTTTTCTCAAGATCAGTCATTGATATGCAAAATCGATATGTATATCAGGTTACTCTGGGCGTTGGTAACTGTTGAAGTGAAGACAAAGTTGGATGTCCTCTTACACACGAGTTTTTGGAAATTTTCAGCTTCGAGGGTTTAGTCACATGCGGGATCCCATCGCAAGAAAAAGTATCCTTGTTTTGCTTGTTGCGTCGTTATCGATGCGATTCCTGTCCCTTCTCCAGCCTCTCAGCCAGCTAAAGTTAAAAAAAAGTGGAGTTTTGCAAGTTTTGAAGGACCCCTCATTTATTTCCCTCATTTCCTGGGAGCAGAGTTGAGCAAGAAAGGGACGAGGAAGATCCTCGACATAGGGAGCTCAGTATATACCCTTTAGTAAAGTTCTTTTACCCTTTGGTCGTGTGGATTGATTTATAAGATCGCACAAAAAGGAGCACAGGATACTTTTGGTATGTATTGACACAATCAATAAAACGATATAATATGAAGCTTCTGTTTTGCAAGGTTTTCATGTGAAAAACTATCCATCACTACAGTAAAAATGTCCGCTGAGAATCGACGTCATTGTTTTGCGAAGGCAAAGCCGACAAGTGAAAAGTAAAAAGTCCTACCACGTTCAAGACATGCGAGCTTTAAGAGCGCTTTCCAACTTGATACCGTCTTCAGCAAACTTTCGAATACCTTCAGATAGCTTTTCAGTAGCCATGGCGTCCTGTTTTTGGCAAGAAAATGTTGCGTCATCAATTTTTTTTTACATCAATGACAGGTGCATAACCGACACATGGTCAAAGCAAACATTTACCTCATTCAAGTCCCATCGGAAGACTTTTTCAGAGTATGTGACCTTGGGAATATCCAAAGTCTTGGCCTATCCCAACAACAAAAGTGTCAGAATCCAAACCTCCACCAAAACACCGTCAACGTATTTCGTCAATATTCTACCTTCTCAGCAGTAACACGAGGCGTCAACGCAGTAGGACTCTTGGACAATTCATCCAAAAGAGCAGGCGAGATAGTCAAAAAGTCGCAACCAGTCAATTCCTCGATTTCACCAGTGTTTCTGAACGAAGCACCCATAACAATAGTCTTGTATCCGTGACGTTTGTAGTAGTTGTAGATACGCTGTACTGAAATAACACCTGGGTCTTCTGTAGCAGAGTAGTTTTTGCCTGTTGATTTCTTGTACCAGTCCAAGATACGGCCGACGAATGGAGAGATCAATGTGACTTGAGCTTCTGCGCATGCCACAGCCTAAACATAGTAATATTGGTTTCAATCAGTATGTTGTGTATGCGTTTGTCTAACAACTCTTCCCATGACACGTACTTGAGGGAAACTGAACAACAAGGTCAAATTGCAATGAATTCCATCCTTAGCTTCCAATTCCTTGGCAGCTTGTATACCCTCCCATGTGGATGCAATCTTGATCAAGACACGTTTGCGGGCATCAACACCAACTTCTTCATACATTGCTACCAATCGTCTGGCTTTATCAAGGGTGCCTTCCAAATCGAATGACAAGCGGGCGTCGACTTCAGTTGATACACGACCGGGTACAATCTTTAGGATTTCGACTCCAAAGTTGACCAACTAGGTTGGAGTGTTAAGCTTTGTGGGTTTCAAGCGTGTCAAAGTATGAACGTACTAGTCGGTCGAGTGCCCACGTAACTTGATCATCGAATGCGCTGTAGAAAGGAAGGAGATCATCGTTAGTAAATGCACAAGCAAACGAGACGAATAGACAAAGTTGGTTCACGACGAAACTCACCCTCCCTTCTTTTTGCCATAAGCAATAGCATCTTCCAAAAGATGAGCATATTGAGTCTTTTGCGATGCAGCAAGAATCAATGAAGGGTTGGTGGTAGCATCTTGAGGTTTGTATTGTGCAATGGCTAAAGTATTAGACAAGATGGTGAAGTTTTGATGTTAAAAACCATCAACCAAAAACATTGAACGTCAAGGAGCTAGACGATTATTCAAGGGAAATTCACACCTTCAAAGTCACCAGTGTCGGCCACTACGGTCGTATACCTGCAAAGCGAGCAGCTTTGTGAGTATTTGGAATCACAAAGAATAAGTCTCGCAAACCGCCGTTTGTGGTCGCTCAAGAAACAGGGAAGTGAACGAACAAGCTTACTTTTTGAGTGTCTCTAGTGCGCTCATGATTGTCTGTTTCTCTTCCTGTTGAAGTTTGTTCAAATGTCAGCTTATTGAGAAAAGCGATTTGGCGGATCAGTAATGGCAAACCGCTAGACACGGTGACGGGTAACTTCAAACCGACGAGCTAATTCTAACATTGATAAAGTTTACAATATCGTCCTTGAATTACAAGTTTATGTTATGAGCTTTACACACATACAAAAGGCCTCTACAATATAAGTTGGGGATTTGTTCTTTTACCATTTTATTCTTCTTTTGCCATCTTGGTTTGTCCATTGGTGACATGTCCATTCGATTTCGAAGTAGTCATTGTTGGCTTCTCATGCACGACCAACCAATCTCTCATGAAGAACCAACCTTCGGCAATAGCAACGATCAAAACACCTGCTAGACCCATTAGAGTTTTCTACAGACGTTAAGTCATGGTGAGCGCTCAGGTTTGCTTGTGCTTTTGGAAGAAATCAAATTTGATCAAAATTGATCCAAATACATACCATTGAGGCATCATTCGACACAGCATCCCCAAAGTAATACACGGCAGCAAAGACAGCGACAAGAGACAAGACAACGTTGAATGCGGCGAGCGATAATTGGGAAGCAGCCTTGAGTTCTCTCCCTATTGAAGCTGGAGCTGTTCCATTGATTGCGTCGTTGCTTGAACTCACTCCTGATACCATTCTTGCATATTCTTTGTTTTCTTGATCAATTCGAGCTCGTTCTAGTATAGCTTGTAACTCGGGAGACTAGAGGTGAGGGAAGTGAGTCAAGTTGCCTCAGTTTGGTGCAAAGTTTATAGCCAACCTTTTCTCGTTGTTTGGGAGCTTCATGCACTAGCGTGCTGCCTCGTAGCAATTCACGTAGCTCATACAAGTCTTCATCCAATCCATTCTCTGGTGTGTGTGTGTTTGATGTTTTAGGTTGATGTTAAAGGTTCCAAACACAAAACTTTGATGATAACCAATCCACAGGGGTATAGAGTGACTCACCAGTAGCATGCTCTCTTATAATCCTAGCAATATGTGCGACCAGAGTATGAGATATTGTTTGAGGAGTTTCCCAATCTGAATTCACGCATGTTTGGAGCTCTGTCGTAGTTTCTTCATCCAGTTCCGGGGATTTGAGTGCTATTGCCAGTTGCGCTGCTGCTCGTAATCGAGGCGTTAGGGTGCAAATAGTCATCTTTTCTTCATAGGGACAACGTTGACTTTTGATGAGAATGTCTATGTGGACGTTTTTGATGGATCTTGCTTGCATCGGACTTAGTCAAAAAAAAGAAGGAAGACGTGTAGATCATTTTAAATCACTGATATTCAATTGCTCCTTTATTGAAATTCGACGTGCTGTCGCCTCTACAGAGTTCAAAGTCACGGTTTTCTCCGTTCGAGCTGATTTTGGCGTGATTGTTCTACTAGAGTTAACCGCATCGAAATCGCACGTTGTAATGCAAACATATGTCTTCATTTGGATACCTTTGGCTCCCCACACTGTCAAACTTGCATATCGTCACACTCCTGTTTCCACAAAAAACCAACAGTCATAAGAAGGAATATAATAATAAACAATGTCTATCGGCAACCCATTGGAATCCTTCATCATCTTTGGCAGAGCCGTGCCACGACACATGGTAGAGTGTCGTCATTGTTTTCTACGTCGTCTCCTTCAGAGTGCAAAACTTTTGAACAGCGTCGCTAACATTATCATCAATTCAAACACTAGGTCGGCTATTACTGCTTGGGCATATATATTGGATTGTACGGTCTCTCCAAAATCAGGAGCTCTCCTCCACCAGCAGTCACCATGGAGCCCGCAGAAGCAGCATTTGTTAAGGAATACTTGCACAAACATCACGAAGAGCAACACATTCCACCATACGCACGCGGTATCTTTAAGGTACACTCTGCCTCTCACTAAATACAGGAAGCAGCTTCATGGATGGATGTGTGTGGTGCTACTATGGAATGTCAATGTAGTGAAGGGATATACCAGCACATATTTAGTCTATGAATCTCTATCATGCAACGCAAAATATAAAGTATGTTACACTTTTATGTTATGGTAGTCCTATGGAACAGCAGTGATTTGGATTCTATGCAAACTGTCTTGAGAATGTCCAGTCGGGGCAACGAGTTCTATGTGAAACTAGGTAATTAGACAGCGATGCACTCAACCAGCAGTCACAACGTACTCTAAAGACGATAGCCAGCTCGTCCGAGTCCTTGACTAGTACAATTAGAATGTAGTGAACACGACCAAGAGCTAGCCCCTCATGAAGGAGCATGTTTTGTATGCTAGATGCAGGTATGAATCGTGTAGAGGATCCAAAGATGACGCGTCGAGTCTCTAGCTGGACTCCAATGTCACGCATCACCATCAGGGATTCTAGCACGGGAGTGGTGAGCACATGTGTGTTTGATCTACTAGTGTATCAAGCAGAAGCGAGAAACCTGTCATGATGCTGTTCAAATAAACTAAAATAATTAAGAATGCCACGACCAGCATGGCAATTCCTAAATCCTGTTTCAGCAAACAAGACATAAAATTAGTATCGAATGTCGCAGCATGGAAGCATTGGATTTGCAGAAAATGTAGCTTACAGGGCGATCCAGAGTCCAGCTCATCCATGCCAAGCCGAATATGATTGCCGCGACATAAATCCATATAGGATTGGGATGCGACTTGACCACAAAGTGCTTGACGAACTTGTTTGAGATTGGAATGGTGAGCTCTGGGCCAGTGGGTATGTATGCATCAAATCGTCCACGGCCATTGCTAGTCATAAAAGTCGGATACAGTAATAACTTGGGAGAGATGATGTTGCTAGATGGCAGCAACAAGATACAAACCTTGAGATCTCCGTTGTTGACGAGTTTGAGTTCTAGACCTCAGGCTTCCTCCTAGTAATTGCATATAATTCTCAATGAATATAGACGCGAAAATTCACGTAACGACACCCCAACTTGACCCGCAACTTTGTTTTGATATCCTCACGTACTCTTCATCATCAACAAACCGTAACTGAAAGCTTAACGAGAAACAAGAAAGAATCAATCAGTTGAGTGACCATCCAATGCATCCCACATGCAGTACTTATTCTAATTGATTCGACTACTCTTACTTACACACTACATTGTTGGAACTTAGTGGTTAAAGCCGTCGTCGTTTTACGAGGAGACTCTGCAGTCAAGGGAACCGTAACTCTTACTCAGGAATCGGAAAATGGTCCGACCACCTTGGAAGCACATATCGAAGGTCTTGCTCCTGGAAAACACGGATTCCACGTCCAGTACGTCTTTTGTCCATTTCATTGCCATTTCAAATGATGTGGGTTTTGCTGGCAGGACTACAAATCGAGTTACAGTTGGCGCAGAGAGCTGGACAATATGTTACAAAATGATGTATGCTAATCAGTATATGTCTGTTATAGCGAATTCGGTGACAACACTAACGGTAAATACATACATTCACTTGTGTCACCAAAGGGGGAATTGACCTCTTATGAAAGCTCCTTGAACCTATATTGCTTATGAAGTTTCCGCGATCTAAATGTATCACTAACCCTCCGTTTGTACGTTGCTGAATAGGCTGCATATCCGCTGGTGGTAAGCAATCCGTCGCGCGTTCAAGCTGTTTTTGTCCATGTACCATCATTTATCAGCCAACTCGATTCCATCCACATCGTCATAGGTCACTTCAACCCTCACGGACACACCCACGGTGCTCCTGAAGATTCCACTCGTCACGTTGGCGATCTCGGAAACATGGTACGTCTACAGTTGTTTAGCTTGGAACATACTCATCCAAGACACTTAAAGTACCTCTCGTTGCGAATCTTTTAAGGTTGCCGGACCAGACGGTGTGATCAAAGGTTCAGTCAGTGATTCACAAGTCAAATTGATTGGTCCCTTGAGCGTCATTGGGTATGTGTATTGCGTCAACCTTTACGGCTTTTTTGGTCGTTCTAGTGTTGCATTTGACTAAAAGCATCTGTTGGTGATGCTTAGCCGTACCATTGTCGTCCATGAAGGTGTTGATGATCTTGGAAAGGGCGGTCATGAATTGTCTGCTACTACTGGAAACGCTGGTGGTAAGCTTTCCAATCTTTATGTTCGTGTTTGGACTTTGTTCGTTTGATTGGTAGATCAGCTAACGCGTCCTTTCAATCTGAATAGGTCGTCTTGCTTGTGGTGTCATTGGTATCTCCAAGTAGATTCCGAACACAAAGCAGTGCCACGAATAGGAGTAGTAGTGCAAAAGAATGGATATCCAAAAAAATATATCTCATGCTCGTGCAAAAAAAGTCGAATCTGTGGGTTTAAATGATTTGAGTGATTTCAAGAGCAACATAAGCAATGAAATAATATTAACTAAAGGGGCATGTACAAAGCGAGATTCTTCAACTAGATTGGGCCAAAACAGCAAAAGCGGCTACCGCCTTGAGGATACTATTCAACAGTTTCATTCTTGACAGCACTCAACACCTTCTGATGTGCATCAACCAACGCTTCAATCCATTTATCAGCACCGTCTTTTGAGCCAGCGCATAATATCATGGTTCGCTTAGGGAGGACGACCTTGAAGCAAAATGTATGATGTTTTGATTGTGCATCGATTTCCAATACATCCAGTACTTTGGCAAGTGAGATGATTTTGGTTGGGACGTATTCCTATGATAGAGAGAGTGCGTGTTAGATGAACCATGTCAATCAGAAGCAATGTAGGGGCCGAAAACAACCACACTACAGGTCCACGTGAATGAAAGCTCCGCTAGTGTCTAAAAATACGATGCTACAGGTTGAACATACTACCTTGTCATCTTTGTAAACCGACAATTTACCATGCCGTAATACCAACCAACGCTTCTTCCAAGTCTAATTAAAAGTAAAAAAATATCATGATGAGATAGGTACAACAAAAAATACTACGAGGCGAACTTTAATATCGTTACCTTTCGAGCACGACCACTAAGCTTATACAGATACCCAGAATACAATGTCTTGTCGAAAAAAACCTCATCCATTCCCATCATCATACCCTCATCACCATCGCCTTCATCTTCATCAGACGAAGACAGCATGGCGCCAGCAACACTCCTTCTCGTTCCTCGGGGCGTACCAACAAGTGATCCACCAGGTGAATTTTCTGCTGATCGCGGCGGTGTAGATGCTGGTGATTTACTTGCTGGAGATCCTGCTGGACTGGATACTTGTGGCCCTGTTGCTGCAAATGATGCTTGTTTCAGTAGTGATGTTGGTGTGTTGTTGCTATTGTTGCTGTCTGGTGCAGAGGACTCTGGTACTCGTGGTAGTGCTGATCCTCGATGCACTAGGATAGATTTCGGAGGCACACTATTGTAACTACTAGTTATAGCTGATATAGGAATCGGAAGTGCTGATGGTGTTGGAGATGGTGATGGCGATGATGACTGTCCTGATATCAAACCTGCATTAGATTGTTGCTGCTGTTGTTGTATCATGGATGGAGTTGATATGATGGTTAACATGGATTCAGTCGTTACAGTTGACTCCTGATATGATGAACGATCATTCTCAGCTGATCCTCGCATGACTGGTGGGAATGGTTTTGTAAAGTCGGGTGAAGAAGATGTTTCCTCTGATGATCTCAATAGTAGGGAAGATGGGAATGGTGGTAGTGGTGGTACTTCATCAGCTGTTGTCGAGATCATTTCATTGTTGCCTGCACCACCAGGTATACTAGGTGCCATATCACCATCAGATGTTTGCTTCATTAATGATTTACGTTTCATAGTGGGAGTGTCTAGTCCGGTAATAGCTCCAGAGCTCGTGTTGCCAATCAATTGAGTGCTACTGCTATTACTATTGTTGATGATGTTCCCGTTCTTTAATTGAGAATGTATCTTTTCATGAGCAGCTCGTATTAGCGTCAGCCACTCCTGGCATTCTTCTTTGGATGAAGCCTGTATAAAGTAGGTCCGTTTCCTTGTCACCAGTCCAAATACATTGGCTCGTTTCTTGAGTGCTACTTCGGCGATTGCATGTATGTCAGCGAGGTCAATGATGGTAAGCAACTCATATTCCTTGTCGTTCTTGTAATATGCTATTCGGGTGGTTCGTAGTACAAACCATCGACGTTTCCACCTCTGATATACCAGTGAAAAAGTAGTGTGAGTTGTCACTTTTCACCACATCCGGATTGCTTTTATTTTTGATCACCTTTCGTTTCTCGCCCTTCTTTTTCAGATATCCAGACTTGAGACTGGTTTCTAATACCAAATCTTGCAATGCTCTCCCACTCATTTCTCCCTCGCCATCATCAGATTCTACACCTTTGTCAGACTGTGTAGGCGACGAGGGAGGCTCCATATCGCCATGTGCTTTATCAGCTAGCTCATCTCCGGAATCATCTGTATCTGAGAATGGATAGTGTGACCATCCCTTAATAGATCGTAAGATGAAAAGAGTGTGAGTGTGCGTGACTTTTGGTGTGCACATGTTTTTGTGACTTGAGTGTTGGTGGAGGCCAACAGGTAAAAGCAGAACATGCTACATTGTAACGAAGTTTATGATTACCTCGTTTGCAGTCTCAAAAGCAACGACACTCGGACGCTTTGGTGAATGTTCACTGAATCCATTATTGTTTGATGATATTGCCACTCGCAGATGACTTGATGGTTCGCCATCATCACGGAGTGGTGCAACCGAGCTTCCATTCATGAGCGAAATATGTTCACTATCTTACGGCTTGTTGGGATTTGGGTGGTGTTGATTAACTTATTCGGTGATTGTTACGATCTAATGTTTGTCGTAAGAGGAGAAATTAGCAGAGCAAGAAAAGGAACGAAGTGCAAGTAAAAGATATTTATATGTCTGTACCTATGATCCTCAATGTTTAAGATTGTGTGTTTGTAATCATTCGTTCGCCACCAGATTTGAATTTGAAACAAGATTCCCACGGGTGCCTAGTTCGACGTAGTATCGAGTAGACGCATACACATATACATTTTGGATTCAGATCTTAAATCTGTGTACCTACGTCGCGTCGTGAAAGCGCAATGGGTGCAATGGAACTTCCTTCATCATTCCTGCCGCGTTTCATTTTGATTCCAAGATGCTTCTCCGCCAAAAAGCGTAAAAATGTTCAGAGACTCATGTAAATGTCGTGCTGCAGTTACATACCACGCCATGTGACGTATGCTTCGAACTTCTCACACTTACACACCGTACAGAATCACCCAAACAATCAAAGGCAAATACTCCTCCAGACCTATCACTCATCCAAGAAATCCAAGGAGAAATGTCTGCGTGAGCTCCTGCAAAGTTTCAACTAGAGCGAACTGCCCTTGTTGTCAACACGAACTCAAAGGCTAACCATCTCCAATAAAAACATCAATATCGTCGAGGGCACGAAGAGTCTGATCATCACAAGGGTACTCCACACCATGGTAGCGATGTAAGCGTCCATGTTTCATGGAGCGAATGACCTTCCCTTTTGTTGCCAACAATCACATCACACAACATGACAATCACATCACACGGCATCACATTCACAACTCACTTTTACTCAAACAGATTGAAAGGGATCACATTGAGATCCGTGTGGGTGGTCGATATATATATCATGCTGTTGAGGGCTCCGTGCAGACTTCATCAAGAGTTGTCACTGAGATCTTTACTCATCCTGAAGTCGCTGGCTCAACACACAAGATTGTCAAAGCAACTGCAGAAGAGCCTCCCTATGTCGCAAAGAGCGACCACACTGGTCCTGCTTTGTCTTGCAGAATCGACGAGAGTTGATCGGCCTTATTTGACTCCTTTAAGGAAAGGAAACGGTGTACAACAAAAGTGCATTCGAGAAGGAGCTCAAAGAATGTGAACAACTTCACCAATATCACAAGACTGAGCAAATGTATTCCATTTGCTCAGTAGAAAGGAAGGTTGAAGGTTGATGATGCTGGTGATGATGAAAAGCAAATATGGGAGGATTAGCAAATGGGTGGATGATGAGTTGACTATATGGCAAATATATACAGTGTATTAACTGCTGATGCAAAATAAAACAATTTCCTATCTATAAATGTGCTTGAGGCGGGCGATCGTAACAGCATGCTACAAATAGTCAGGGTAGTATAAAGCGACCAGACTGGAATCGAAGAGGACTCAGCCGATATAGTCCCACTCTGGCGGCGGTCTCATATTCTCACTTTCAGATGCTGGATTAGATTTCTCTTGACTACCAGACTTTGGCGACGACCCCTTGATAGCATTGGCAGCTCTGGCACCTCTATTCTGAGAAATCCTTCTGATTATATCCTTGTTTGCTTCCAGCTCTCGGTGGAAGCGTTCCGACTCTTGTTTCTCTCGTGTATTTTGCTCAGAATCCCATTCTGCCAAAGCAACCAGATCTTCACCGTATTCTTCAGCATCCGTGGCGAGGGAAGCCTTGCGTGGCTGGCTCTGTTTACGTGGTTGTGTTTGCGCTCGGTATGAACCGGCAATGCTGGCCGGAAGACTTGACCGTTTCGATGCTCTTTCGTTGTGACTCGGCCGAGGAGGAACATCTTCAGCATCATCGTCAGTCGAGTTGTCCTGTGCTAAAGCCTCATACGGAAGACCTGGGAAAGCCCTTTCTGGTTGGTTTTGGGCGGTTTCATCTACGACATTGTCAGGACTGGGTGTCTCAGCATCTCCTCGTCGAGCATTTTCGCGGGCTTGTCTCCATTTCTCGGCTTGCTCGGCACCCCTGTAATTAATGCAAAAATTACTTGCGACGTTCTCTGAAACGATAGGGATCATTCAGTGACGAACCTTGCAAATCGTCGACCTAATTTGTTGCCTGCGAGACCCAAAAGGTACGAGAGAATGCCGACCTCCTATAGCAGGTATATGAAGTGAGCATGTCTTCTAATATATTCTCGCCAAAGATTGTCTGAGATGGGGGCTCTGCAGATATCCATAAATTGACAACATACCAAAAACACACTAATGTCGAAACATCCAAAGTTTAGTTAGTTTCGTTGCAACAATTTGTGAATCGGTCGATAGCTTTCACTTTCACTTACAAGATATTCCAGAACTCCCATGACCACGGCGACTGTGGTATCAGATCGCCATAACCTGGTGTTGGATGTTGAGAGAATGTTTAAACGTCAGACATGGATCAATATTTGAATCGAGTCCACCAAGCGAGCAATGAGACACGAACCGATTGTAGTGATAGTTGACCAGGTAAAGTAAGTTGCGTCGCTATAGGTCCAGGTTCCCTCTATACGTTCAAAAACCAGAGAGCCGAGCAACCAATAAGTCAACAACCTTGATGACAAACTCGTCAGCTAAAAAACATCTTAAAAGAAGGTCATGTCAATATGAATTACCAGAAGACGATTTGCCGAAATCGTCGAGCTTCCATTGCCTTTTCTTCTGCCTTTTCTTTTCGTTCCTCTTCATCAACAGAAGAAATACCATCAGTTAAAGTCAGAGTAGAAGACAGTGGAACTCCAAAATCGACATTGGAACTATTATCGGGTGAAGTGGGATCTGGCATCTCTTGAAATGGCAGGCCTTGTTGCCTGATGTTGTTCCCAGAATCGGGTATTTGGAGTTGATCCGGTTTGGCTCCAGAAATTACGAAATCTGAAGGAGGGGAGGAATCTACAGGATAATCAAAGCCTATATCTACTGGTGTAGATGCAATGTCTGGATGAGCAGTATCCATTGGATAGTCGATATCAACGAGCTTCATATTGAAGGATGGGATATTGCTGATGGAAGCATCTGATGGTCTAGTTTGACCTCCTTCATAGCCCATTGCCTCGATAGCAGATGCGTCGTTCCAGTCGGACACCTTAATGCCGGTGAAAGGGTCCACTACATCAGGAGTGTCGTAGCCCATGTACTCCATCGCCAGCATCATGTATGATTTATGTTGGACGGGTGCGGTAGCTAGCTTCTCAAGACCATACTTTTCTTCTAACAATCTTCGTTGTTGGGCAATCTTGTCTAATCTTCTCTTGCGTTTGGCAGCTCGTTCTTCACGCCGCCTACGTTTACGTTCAAAGTGTTTTCGAGTCTCAAAGTCTGCGCTCTCGACCATTATCTCCTGTATAGTTAGCAAGAAATTGCCTAGAGAAGACGATTTGAGAAACACATGTTGACCGAAACTTGTGAGTTCGAGACCTCACCAATGATGATCAAGCCAACTAGAGAATAGAGGATCAGGAAAGCCCTCCCTCCAACAGACTGAATGACAACATTTCCTACACAGAGCATTCTATTAATAGGCAGCCAACGAAAATGAGATAAAATGAGTGAAACTTCGTACCATAGCCAATCGTCAAAAGTGTGACCAATGCAAACTGATAGGAGGCGTCGAATGGGATGGCATCCATAAAGTGGAAGACGATACCACCAAATATTATCATATAAATTGCAAAGGCTGCAGCAGCTATCAGTCGTTTGTCTCGAATGGGAATGTCATAGTCCTTGAATTTCGAGACGTGATAGTTTATACAGCAAAGCGTACAAGCAAACCAGCTGGCTGGTATTGAGAGTAAATTCGATATCCATCCTTGAGAAGAGGAAGAGCCTTCCACACGTGCTCTTCTCATCTCAAACGTTATTAGAGCCGTGAGACAGAGCGCTCCTTGAATCAACGTGCAGATAATGACGATGACACCACAGATCTGTCTATGAAGCCCATAACGGTTGGTTATAAACATAGAGAATGTCGCAATTACAGCGGCGACAAGTGCCAAGGATACCAGAGCCGTTTGGGAGCTATCTATGAAAGCGATTCCGGTTCCTCCTTCCGTTGCGGAAGCTAATAGCCAGAAATCGATACAGAGTGCTCTAGTGACAGAGAACAATGCATACAATTCCGATAAACATGCGGTGGCCCATCGAGATGCAGATCTCTCTGGGTCTCGGAGGTGAGACCTACATGGAGAGCACAGTTACCACAGTATACAGCAGGGATCTATGATCCAGAACACATCATTCGCAAATGCTGCGAGGATCCAAACATATCGTCGACAGTACAACATAGATGTGGGATTTTGGCCCAAAAATGTTTCAAATGTTTTCGAACGCGGTGCATACCAAAACTCTTGAATGGGGTGAGACAGTTCTTCCACATATCTAACTGTTGTAGGAACTGCTTGCTCCAAGGCTGACTCCATTCCGACCCCCTTCCTAAATCACACATTCATTGAAAAGTGCCACGTCACTGACTTGCAGGAAAACAGGTTAGTATATTAAGATTTTGTCCCAATTGAAACGCTTATTTCAATGATTTTGTAACACATTTAACGGTCCTTACCTTGCAGGCCTCGCTGCCAAAGAAACTGTTCACGCTATCGCCCCCACAAGAAACTTGGCAACATGGTGAGGCCTGAGGAACATCTCGATTTCGTCAGGTTCAAGCGCCGATGTGTTGCAATTATAAAAACAGTACCCGTTGGCAAGGTCACGACTTATGGTATGAAAGATTCTCAAACCAAATCTTGGATTTCGTGTCGTTAGTTAAATCACGCATTATCAAAAGGTCATATCGCAAAGCTAGCAGGGAAGCCGAAACACTCTAGACATGTTGGATTCTTGTTACGGTGAGCTTCTGATTAGCAATTTGTTGGGTGTTGGATTATTGCTGCGGTGACTCTGATTGTTCGTTTACGCAATACTCAACGTTGCATCCTTGAGCTTTAATTGGCCGAGATCACTGACAAGGAATTCAGAGCTTTGATAGATCCTGATCTACCATGGCAGCGAATCATCAACAGCAGTGGCAAAATCTCTCCTCGAGAACCTAATACTTCGGTAGATCGTCAGGCTCGGAAGCTGAGGAATGAGGGCGTTGAAGTCATTCAGTATGGCATCGAGTACAAGATCAACATGCGGGAATATGGGTGGTTCCCTCCAAAGTTGGAAGGTGATCTCAATGTAGAAACTGATGATGAAGATGAAGACGTCGAAGACGACCAGTAATCTGTGAAAATGAGATATTTATTTGTATTTTCGTTTGTACACTCCTTTTATAGTATCAGTATATATCCTCACATCCTAACAAACTGGAACGTTTATTGCTAAACCACCAAGTGATGTTTCCTTATACTTGTGCGACATCTCCAAACCAGTTTGTCGCATTGTTTCTATGACGTTATCTAGTGAAACCTTGTGGGATCCATCGCCATTCAAAGCAAGTTGAGCTGACGTGACTGCTTTGACCGATCCTATCGCATTTCGCTCAATACAAGGAATCAACTGACGAAAAACAAAGTAGAGTCAGAAAAAGTCAAACTAGATCAGCATCGGAGAGTGCTTCGAATACATCTTACCACAGCTCCATTCACTGGATCACATGTCAGCCCGAGACTGTGCTCCATCCCTATTTCAGCTGCATTCTCAACTTGTTGAGGCGTACCACCAAGTATTGCACATATTCCAGCCGCAGACATACTAGTGGCCACGCCAATCTCTCCCTGACACCCCTAAGATTACAAAAAAGTTAAGTAGCCAAAGTCGCCAAACTGGACCAGCGGTTAAAGTACCATCTAAAAGACGTTTGGTGAGATCAGGTTAGTTTCTGATATTTGCAAACTAATGGTAGCGAGACAGTGAGATACCTCAGCAGCGCTTATACTGGCCCCTCGTTTGTACAGCATACCGATGGCAGCCGCAGTAAGAAGATACTCTATAATGTCTTGATACGAGAGACTCTATTAGAAGATTGAAGCACGGTGTACAAAGGTGAATGCCCTTACCTCGTTCTTGATCAATCAACGAACGATTTGGCGGTGAAAAGAATGTCAAATAACACTTAAGGACTGACGGAACCACACCAGCAGCGCCATTAGTAGGAGCAGTCACCTACATCAACGACATAGGAATAAGCTAGCAAGAAAACTAACTAAGAAACTAACAAAATTACTCACGACTCGTCTCATAGCTGCATTTTCTTCTTGCACAGCGATAGCAAATACACTGAGGGCACTCAATACTGGTGATTTGGCCAGATTCGGCACTGGCTGTCCGTTTTGTTGTCCGACGTTGGCCATGAGCTGTTTATATAATGCTGGTGATCTTCGTTTAACTTTCAACAGTCCAGGAAGATACGTCTCAGTAGAATTGATACCATTTTCAATAGATTTATTCATGACATCCCATATTCCCAATAATCGTTTCTTGATTTCTTCAGAGGATCGCCACTAAAATGAAAAATCATTAGCATCATATTGTATGTGGTATGTTATTCAACCCTACTGACCTGGAGCTCATTTTTGTAAACCACTTGAGCAATACTGAGCTTTTCCTTCTCACAAATATCCAATAAACTGGCGGCATTATGGAATGGAAGTGCAGCTCTAACAAAGTTCTGAGCAGTTCGAGCTGGACTAGATGGCGACACAGGACGACCTTTTTTCGATTGTGGTTTGGACTTGCCATTGAGAAAATGAATTTCCGAGACATCGACAGATGAAGGATCCAAGGCGTGGTCTACACGAGCGTCCTTATAATATACATTATCTGCGACACGTGTCTTCTCATTCACCACAAACCCACCACCGATGCTGTAAAATTCATTAACTGACAACAAGTCTCCTTCAGCGTCATACGTAGATAGTCTCATTCCATTGGGATGTTGTGGCAAAGACTCTTTATGAAATACAATGTTCGTTTTAGGGTCGAAGGAAATCTTGTTCGATCCAAGAGTCAGACTTTTTGTTTCCTTGATAACATCGACCCGGGACTTGATCGTGTCCGTATCGACGCCTTCGGGAGTCTCGCCTTCCAATCCGAGCAAGATAGCCGTATCTGTTCCGTGGCCGATTCCAGTAGCTGCTAACGACCCATACAGATCAACTCTGACTTGTCTGATCTTGTCAAAGACTCCAAGCTCTTTGGACTCTTCAATAAAGATTCGCGCAGCTCTCATTGGTCCTACAGTATGGCTACTCGATGGCCTTGATTTGAATAGAAACGTCAAAGTTTAAACTGGTTCAAAGCACACGATCACATAGATACCAACAAAGTAAAAAGTTTACCCGATTCCAATTGAAAACATATCAAAAGTCGAAACTACAGCGTGATGAACCGTAGGATCTGTGGCCGTAGCCAGGTTTCGATTCCCGATGTTCAGATGACAATTGTGGACGTTCAAGGACGGTTTCACGATGGAAACAAGAGATATTCGACGTATCATTTGAGTGGATCTACGTTAAAAACCGAACAACAGTATAAGTGGGTGTGATTTGCGTCAATTTACTTCTGACAGCTGAACAAACCCAACAACTACGCGATACCGACACCACCAAGTCATAAACCGCAATGGCAGACACGATGCCTACATTAACATACCTCAGTAAGGCCGCAGCCGCTTTGCCAGAACTTCCAGCCATGAAGAGATACCTACAAGGTCGGCTACAAGCCAAATCTGAAACTGAAAAAGTGCAACTACAGGAAAAAATAATCAAATCAGCTTGTCCTTTATGTGGCAGTCAGTGGATTCCGGGACTCAATTGTCGTGTACGCTTGCTCAGCAAGTCGGATCAGGCCATGAAACATGGGAAATGGAAGATTGTAAAAGTTGATGCATTATCGTCAAAAGTGCATTATTACTGCTATAGCTGCCATGTAAATGCGCTTTATAAAGGCAACAAGAGGAGGAAAACTAGTAGTAAATTAATACCAGTCAAGGCTATCCCGCTACCTACAACAACAGCGACAAAGGCAACGGAAACCGAACCGAAAAATGTAGTCAATAAGAAGGCAGGAAAGAGGAAGACATTGAATCTACGAGGTATCCTTGATCGTGAAGCTCAACAAAAGCAGCAACAGCAGGATCAGTCGTTTAGCCTCACGGACTTTTTGTCCCAAGGTTGAATGGAGTACCATATAGCAGCCAAAGCACGATCAGTCTAAGGTTGAGTGAAGCAGAAGTATATAGAGGCATAGCTAGCAAGTCATTGTACATAATTCGAAATAACAATTGCACTCATAGACGAGAAACTTTGTCTCCAAGCTCTTTTACTGGGACAAGTATCTCATTCTTGCGCAAGAACGGAAGAGTCCACGGAGGGTTGTATCCAGCCCTACAATTACAAAATACATTAATGAGAATACCCTTACTTAAATATTGGCTCGAGTTCAGACCTAATGTGGCTCTTGTCGCCAACGTCCAAGACTATCCCATCCTTCTTACAATCCTCGCGTAGCTTGGATTCCAGCTGCTTGCATTTATCTTCATTCATCATCCCGCTAAAGGTTACTGCAGCCATGGTAGTCTCTCCAACATCTTCTAAAACTACTCTGGGATCTAACGGTTTTGGGAGATCGGCAGTAGTGCGATACTTGCTTGGCATTATGAAAGACATGGAGCGTGATTCTTTGTCAGCCGAGTCCATCAGCACAGGGGCTCTAAACGAAAATGAAGGTCGATTTAACGGTCCATTTGAATATATTACGAGAAGTAACTCACGTCATGGAAATAACTTCCTTTTCACCGTTCGAGCCTTTGTTGCTACCAAAGATGTATCTTGCCACGACCATAAATTGAGATTCTACAATCGCCAGGGATGCATCGATCAGTTTTCTCAAATAGGTACTGGTTAAGCTAAGTAGGGTTCATACTTTCACTGTGTTGATCATCTTGATAGAAGGTGGCTCTAACTTGCGGACCGTACTTGCGAAGCTCATATTCAGGAGTGTGGTAAATCACTTGATAGACGGGTTGTTCTACATGCATCGTAAAACCATGTGAGCCTGATTGATGTTTGGTCATGCAAGGCGATCAAAGGAAGAGCTTCCAGTTCGACACCAGATGCCATAACATTGGAGCAAAAGCGCAACGTTCCGCACCAGATCACTCTGGCCAAAACAGCATGTATTGCCCCCGGCATCCTGCAAAATCACAATTGATCGCAAGCGTTGAGTTTGCTACCTTCACTAATTACACCCACGACACTCTTAGCGTAATCCATAGTAATCAATACGAGAGCAGGCTGATATGATTTAATCTGTTCCTTGAGCACCGGTCGTTAAGCTTTGGGTGCAAAATGAATTCGTCGCAAGTAGAGAAAGAAGGATGGCTAGAAAGCTCCAAGGGATCTCAAGTCGAGGACTGGGATTTATCAATCTTGAAAGAAGCTATAAATTCTGCCGTAAGATCGATTTAGTTGGAAATGACATGATGCATCTCTCACCAACAACATTTGGTCGCATATGTTTAGAGTGACGACCCACCTTCAAAACGAGAACTTATTCATGGGCTACTGCTCAATATCAACTTGGACGCGTCCCTGTATCGCTGGCTCATCAAATGTCTTGAAAATGGCGAACTGTCGGTGGATCGGAAGGGTAAAGGTCCATTAAAAGACACTTTATCAGAGGTAAAGGGCTAGTCGGATGTTTCTCTTTGCAACAGAATTGTATTGAGTCATGTCGCTTTAGATTGTGGGAGAAGCTGGTCCAAAGATTGCTAGAATCGACATTCTCTCACAGGCAATCCAGAATAATCCTCCTACCGTCATGACGATGCCTTTATACCATCCAACTCATAGTCCCCTGGCAAAATGTATGTGGAGCTACTACATCCGGTCTGACATTGCTACATTCTGGAGAAAGTGTGAATCAGCGTGCAAGGACTCATTACTGGTAATGCTTCATTGAACAATCTTATTCCTGATCAAGCGTTAACTTGGCTGTATTAGGATATTGTTGGGTACATGCTGCTACGTACAAATCCAAAAGCTACTCAAGGTCAAATCAATGATCTGGTGCAAAAGATGGTCGCGATACTTCCGCCCACAATAGATGATTTTTGGATTTCTCCATCTGTCATGGCTGAATTGTCCTTTCTATATACGGATATCATGAATTGGTACCATGACGTCCTGTATCGTGCTGAGATAACAGAGAATGTGAGGGAGAGACGGAAGATGTTGTGGAATAGAGTGAGAGGTGTAGATAGGGCAGACGTTGCGCCCATTGTATGAATGATCTGGATCTATATATTTATGCATCAGGTCTCATATTTACTAATATTATCTGGCAGTACATTATCAACAATCACAAATCAACAGCCCTTCACTTGTCTCATCCAGAATGTCCAACAAGTTTGCTGTTCCATTCTCGAACTTCATGATACAAGAGTTTCCCGCAAATTTGGTACCCTTCTCAACTCCACACCTATTCGCAACTGCTACTATTACACACTTCCCAGTCAATGGCTGAAGCCTAGACACCCAGTATCGAGCTAGGGCATATTCATCCTGCCGTGGCGAGTACAACCATGCCATAGATAGAGACAGAAGTTGTGCATTTTCGGAAGCCATAAAGTTCGCAAATTCGTACGCGTCCCAAGGTGCTTCGAATTTCTTGGGATTTACGTCCATACATATTCCAAAGCCTACACGCTTTTGTTCGAGCGATTGAATTGGCATTGATTTGAATCCTTTTCCCTCCGTTGCCCAGTATTCATCCTGCTCGTACTAGGTTGTAATGAAATGTTGTTTGTTAGATCGTCTTGCAATGTCAACAAATACGCATCCCGTTGCTTTTACAATTAGAATCAATCCAAGTAGTTCAGTCGTCACTCACCAAGAAGTGTTTATCATAAAACACCACAGTCCCAACATCAGGCTGCACAAAACATATCGAATTGTACAGATTCTCACCAATTTTACGAGGCAGACCGACTTGAACACAACAATTTAGTCTCTGAGAAATCCCTTTCCCCCATGCGACAGTGTCAGCTTCCTTGCTCAACACTGACGAAATGTCTTGCTGAGATTCAAACATGTAGCCCGTGAATGCCATTTCAGGCAGTATGAGAAGAGCGAGGTCATTGCGTTGCAAGCTAAATTTCATTGAAATTGTGAGTCAACTGGCATGGCATTGCTTCGGATGCAAAAGAACTAGCCTGCTCAAAAGTGAATTCGCCTTTTGCACGTTCGTGTCGAATTCGCCAAGAACTGGGTCGAATTGGAGGCAGCCTATGTAGATAAAGTTTCATAATTGGAATTTATTCTTGTTGTCCATTGACCTTACACTTACCGATCTTCATCTTGTCTAATATCTACAAGCTACGCGAATGAAAGTAGTATTGAGTTCGACCACATACACAGAACGAAGCTGGACGTGACTTTTCGCGCCTTGTCAATCTTAGAATCCTGATCGCTGATCGCGGACTGAGAATGTCGCATCGTGGACCGATCGCATGACAAATTGGAGTTTGGTACATGTATGGATAGTAAGGTTTTTTTTATATACTGATACGCACAGAGCTGATACGAACAATCAGTCTGTATCAAGAATTCAAGGTATGATTCGGCACTAACCATGGTGAAGCTCTTACACCAACTTTGGTGTTGCTTCCTGATCACGATCCAGTTCACCCCCTCGTTGGCCACGGAGCTGCTGTTTGAACAGGTCGTCCTACACATCAGATTCAGCACTGAATATCATCCTGGGAGATGAATCGAGTTGAGTCAGCAATCAAATGAAAAGCGAGAAGTAATTCGAGAAAAGGAAATGAATACAGAGTTCCCTTTGCGGCAATACCTGATGAGAGCGATGACAATGTGTTCAATTATAGCTGCCGCGAGAGTCGACCTTCATATCCTATAATTTACACCTCGGGCAATCACACTCAAATCCATAATTATCCTTCAAGTACCCCTTCCTCTCTACATCCGTCCATTCTGCCTCCTTGTCTGCAACATAACTGATACAAAGCTCTTCACCAGCTTCAACATTCCTCTCAGCCTCGACTATAATAGTATTATCTCCTTTCCAATCCACCCGACAATTTGGCACACACGAATGATTAAAGCACGATACAAATCCGTATACCGCCGTCCCCACAGCCTTATGATCGTCTAACACAACACCCATCCCATTCAGATTAAAACTGGACATCTTAAGAGCCCACCACTCATATGAAAACACGCTTTTCAACGAAGGTTGGCTTTCAAACATGTGGCGTGCCATTATATCATAACTGCTGTGCCAATGGGATGGACCAGTATCGGTTGAGATGTTTGCGTGTACTAATGTATTCGTTGCTTTCAGGACCTCGTTGAATAACGTTCCGTGAGAAGCAGCTGATAATATCATGGATGATATGAGTCTCGTCACCATGATGGGGTATACACCGTGATCTACTGTATGAGACAACTGCTCGGTCAAGAGGTTTGGAGCGTTTTTTTGCAGGTACTTATTGTATAGCTGCTCGGCTTCACGTTCACACCCATCACTGCAATAGCTCTCAACTACACTAGCATTAAAAGTCGCCTTGGTACGAAAGCAATAACCACATCGTCCCTTCCAAAAACAACACACATCTCGTTAGTGATTGGAAATCAGTTCGCGTGGTTCGACTTTGAAACTCACCTGATGGATGCTCTTCAAAGCCGAAAGCAATGGACGTTCAGATACGATACGAGAGTTGGCTGTGATGGGTATTGATGCAACGACACCATGGCCCTTGTGTCCAAGATGTTTGATTTCAACTCCATAGATGGCGGGAGGAAGTATAGCAGAGGACATCATCCGCCGGAAAACTCTATTTAACATAAAGATTGGGTATCCACCTATGAAAGTACCCGATGAAACCACAAGCTAAACGAAAGTTCAAAATCGTTAAATTCAACGAAACAGGAGGTCAAACGCGCTGGACGAAATTAAGAAAGGCAATTATCGAATCAATGACTTACTGCATCAAGCGTGTATATCTTCACACTCAAAGTTCCGGGTCCCTGGACATTCTCAACAGAGCACGCAAACTGGTTTGTACGCAACAAGACATTTGTGACGTTTCTATATACAGACATGGTATACAAACAAAGATCCTTACATTAAATTACGACGCAATGGTGCAGTATACTCTGTTTTTGTTTTGTTGGTTGTGGTCAACTTAGTCCGAATCTGAATCCGATTCCTCATTTGCAGCACCATTATTACGTGTAGTCATCTCTGGAGCTGACATCTTCCTTTGTCTCATATCTCGAGATCGAGATATTCTCGCCATCTTTGTTTGCTGCGCTATCTCAGCACGAAGTCTGGCGAGTGTTTGTTCAATGCGCATCCTCTAAAGAGAGAATGGTGTTGTGAGGCTGGGCGGATGACGAATGGTTGAGTGCCGAGTCAAAGCTCCAAAACGACATTCTTACATTCTCAATCATGTGAATCTTGGGGAAGGTCCGTTCAGCTCCTACTTGAAAGTAGCGTTGCATTCTTCGTTCATTAGGATCAGACAAAATGAAGATGTAGTCAACCAAGGCAGGTCTCGCTATTGGTGGTAAAGGTGCTTTAGCGTGAGTTGTGTCGAATGTTGGACCCAATCTTCGTTTACCAGTAATTGTACAATTTCCTTCAAATCTTAGAATAAAAAGTTGAAAAAACGTTAAGCCATTAAAGATCCATATCCAACGGATACACAAGCATACCTCTGCAAGAACACAGACGACAAGTCCATGCCTGCCACCCTGGCGAGTTCCAGATCTCGTAACACAGAAACCCATTTGATCAGATCCAATTTCAGTGCAGTAACTAGAGTCGATGCAACGAAACCTCCTCTCCATCCACGACCATACCGGTGAGCTGCCGGTGATCCAGGAGCCCCCTTGGAATGATAAAACCAAAGTACTATATGAGGATTTGCTTGACTAACTATTGTATACTAGGAGGGAAGCAGAAAGTCAGAACACTTGTTTTGATCGCAGACGCACAATCCTTTGAGATGCTACAACGCGTGAATTCTTACATTCACGTTAAATAACTGATGCAAAGTCTTTTCGGGTATATCAGTAGTCAAACTACCATCTCTCCACTTCCTTCCTGCGGCTCGATATGGGACTAGATTGCCTCGGTCGTCCTTCATTATGAGTTCAATGGGTCTCAAAATACCAGGAATTGCTGATGAAGCGATCACAGCCGAATAGATGACAGTATCGGGTGCTGTAATGTAATTCAACACCTTCGCAGTGGCATGTGGACCATCAGGTAGCACTGAGATATTGAGGATTCTACCAGTCCGCTTGTATGCCTTCAAAAATTCAATTGTAGTTGATATCTGACTGTAATTAAAGAGATAATAACCATGTTTACTTACCTCAGAGAAGGTGAGGGCGCCTTTTGTGATCCACTAAAGAGTCGAGGTCATTAATTTTTAGCTTTGCAGTTACGAGTCAAGAAAATACGAACAGCTCAAGAAATCCGCTCACTTGTATCTTATCTTGCCAATCAACTTCATCGAACATTGCACCCGTTTTGAAGAGCCGTTTGAACTTGACCCATAGAGTTTCAGAGCAGGCTGTAAGCACTTTGTATACCTCCGTCTTGAAGACTTCATCTCGTAGCTCGGCGTCTGTCCTGACACAAATCATGGCCGCTACCAACGACCCTCCAGACGTTCCAGTTATCACTGGTGGGAGCAACCCTTCTTCAAATAGAGCCTTCAACAAACCCACTATAAAGTATGATAAAGTTGATGTGGTGGTTACGATAAGGTGAAACGAGCAGAGACATACAGTGGTCTATTAATTTAAGTGTTTCAGTAAATGTTGTTCATCTGGTAGCATAGGATTCACTTACAATACGCAAACGTCGCTCCACCACTAAGACAGAGAGCTGTGCGTCCGTAATTCTTGGACGCCAGCTTCAAGAATTGTTTCCTTTCATCCAGACTCAATTCATTGGACTTTGCCACGAAGTTGAGAGATGCGACAGTCTCTTCAACATAGGATTCTACAATCTGCTTGGTACCAAAGTATGTATACTAGAACAAAGGGCGTCCTTAAATCTGCGTTCTTTGTAGGAAGTGGCAAAACCAGCTAGGCTTACCGAGTAAAGTGATCCATTTTGCACCCCACCGACATCAGCTTTACATGCTCCATGAGCCAACACCTTACGTACTTCACGTACTGCAGTAGATTCACCACTCGTTCTCAGCTTTTTCAGTTTTCTTGCCATCTTTCTTATTAGAGGGACATCGTAGTCACCACAATCGTCAATCTTGGTCCACTCGTCGTTACCAAGATACTTGTCTAGCTCTCTGGCACATGCTAGAATAGATGTTTTGTAAGCTCTATTGTAGAGCTGTTGAGAAGTCGGCTCCCAGAAAAAACTTACTCTCCCATTCCTTGTATGATTTGGCGTTATTCAATCTAGTTCGAATGGCCTTCATTCTACCCCTCCACACGACCAAATATTCCCATATGACAACGTATTGGCGAACAATAAAGTATAAGAGTACGTCCACAAACAGAATCAACAAGATAACAATCTACAGGGTAGGGGAGTAGGGGGGGGGGGTAAGATGATGTGGCGATGACACACATCCGAACAACCCGCTAACCAATAAGATACAAGGACATACCAGTAAAGGTAGTCTCAACAGTATTCCCATGAAGCTCTCTCTATTCCTTCTAGAAGTCTGAGCTTTGCTACTTGACGTTGGCGGAGGTGAAGAGCTCGGCGAGCTTGCTGCCGTAGAAGTACTCCATGGCGAAGCTCTTATGCTAATCTTTGTACTCTTTGCCCGTTTCTGATCACGATCTAGTTCAGCTTCACCCTCATCACGGAGCCTCTGTTCGAACAACTCGTCCTCGACGTCCGAATCAATAAGTTCTTGTGATTCTTCACCAGATTGCATTGGGTCACCTTGGCAGAGGGAATTGAAAGGGCGTAAGTAAAAGAAGGGTATATTGAGAAATAAAGTCAGAGCATTTGGACACATGGAGCGTGTTAGTCCTCGCTGCCTGGTTTACCTGATGATGTTTTGGCCAGATCAGGAAACAAGACTTTACGAGAAGGCGAGAGGCCAGGATTCAATAGATTGGGAGCCAATGGATTGAATTTGGGACTTCCAACCTTTGAGGAGGTGGTACTCTTGACACCAATTAGTGGTGAATTTGAAGCCCAGTTCTCGTTCGTTGACGGAAGCTCATCTCCGGACGAGAGTGTGAATTTGGCTCTAGGCGATGATGTTCCCGAAGCCTGCATCGCTTCTAGATAGTCACGATAAATATACACGGCACAGTTTGGTTTGTAGAGAAATCACGGTTGGAACCAGCCACGACTACGACGGTCACCATCAAGCGTCTCTTCTTGGACGAATTCCGATTATACACGCGTTTATAGAGTAGGCGTTAGCTCGAACTACTTAATATCACAGTTCTATCAAGCGGTGCATTGTTCCCGTCGGGTCTTGAAATCAGACACACAGAAGGTCAAAATGATGGAGCCTCCTATGAGACCTGCAATAATACCAAGGGCTCAGTCCTCTCAAGATGAAGATGCCGTAAAAGGCACAAACGACGATGCAGCCATCTCAAAACTGTAAGCATCATAACACGCGAGCTACAATCAAAGGGTAACTTTGACGTGTTTGCTGACTCGTGATTGAATCATAGGTCTGCCGTCAATTCAGGATATATGCAAGACGAATTCGTCTCCTGCTTTGTAAAACGCTCACTGAAACGCGCTCCCATCATCAATCGAGGTTGCTTTTTCAAAAAATCACGCATTCATCAACAAAACACTTCCAGCTCGGTCGAAATGGCTCATTGAATACTTGATTTTCAGGCTCATATGTCAGATATACAGTTTTGAATAATCTTATTCGTCAATTCTTGTCGTTGCCTGTCGCCCAAGAGAAACAAATCGTGTCGTTGGGGGCTGGGTCTGACACCAGATACTTTTCACTCAAAGTATGTGGGGAACTGTGGAAATGCATGTTGCTTCTTGTATCAACGTTCTTCCTTGTATGTAGAAGGAAGGAATGCAGCCAAAGAAATACTTTGAAATCGACTTTATGGAAATCACGAGCAGAAAGACTGCTACAATCAAAAAGAAGAAGGCCATGACAGATCTTATAGGTGCACATCAGCTAGGTGAGTGGTGTTTCACTGTGTCGTTTGTGCTTCACATTGTGTTTCTCAGCGTGATTCACCGGCTTTGTTTTAGCTGCTGGAGGAACTGAACTACATTCGAACGACTATTGCATTATATATGGCGATCTACGTCACTTTGAAGACACGATTGTGCCAAAACTTGTAGCTCAAGGGTTTGATAAATCGTAAGTCGTGGAGAAACATATGTCATATACGACTCATCGTTTTTTTGTCAACTTTTTGAACATCATCTTTCAGGCTACCGACCCTCTTCATATCTGAATGCGTCATGATCTACATGCCACCAAAAGATGCAGACAAGATAATACAATGGATTCCAGCACACATGTCAACTGCTGCCTTTATAACATATGAACAAATACTACCAAATGATTCTTTTGGACGTACTATGATTGAGAACCTCAAGGTACCGTGTTGTCGCCGCTGTGGGTTTAAACAACTGTACTTCTAAACACGTTACCGATAAACACTCTGCAGATGAGGAATATCGAACTACCTGGAATCTATGCATACCCAACACTGGAATCTCAAAAGCAGAGATACCTGTCTGCAGAATGGCATAGAGCCGAGTCCATGGATGTCAACCAGATCTTTGACTCGTGTTTATCGGATGCTGAACATGCAAGGTATGCAGCTGTTGCACGTGTTGTAATAAGGATATCTTATGCCTTTTTTGTTGCAGGATATCAAGACTCGAAATATTCGACGAATTAGAAGAATGGAAGCTCTTGTCTTCTCATTATTGTGTTTCATGGGCAATCAAGGCACCTGATGGACCACGGTTTGATGATTTTGGACTCAAACCAGCATCAATACCTTCTTAAAAACAGTGCAAGTGTAAATACAATGCATAATGTTTGGGTTTGAATTAGAATAAGTGTATATTTCGAGCATATATATACTAGTGTAAATGAACGTTTCTTGTGGATATTATGCCTCGTCAGTTGGTTCAGCTTCTTCTTCTGGCTCCTGTTCCTGCTCTTGCTCTTGTTCTGCTTCTGGGTCCTCTTCTTGCTCCTGTTGCTCGTCCTCGCCAGCATCAAACGGAGCAGGTACAGCATCCCGTTCCAAAATCTGTCGCAGTTCGTCTAATTGGATTTCAGTCCTGCAAATATCAAAGGCGCAAGCTCATTAGTACACTATGATGGCCAACAAAACCCTATGAGGTACAATCCATGTTCTTACCCAACAGCAAGAATATTCTCAGCAGCAATATCGGCTTGACCTATCCCAACATCGGGATCTCTCTGACCCAGGAATGACAGCACTTCTACAATGATGGCAGTTGGAACTCGTCCTTGATCAGCTAAAACCTCAGCCGCAACAAATACAGCAGCGTCCAAAGTGTTTGTTGTTGATGCGGCTAGCAATGCCCAGAATTTAAGCCATGGGACTCGCTCCGTCCATTCTCCGAGCCTGTTATATACGAAAAGCAATAGTGAGGATTGTGTGGTCGGGGTATTTTGCCCAAGTGTTGGGTATAAAAACAGCTTACAGCATAACATCACGAACAGCATCAGCAGCAATATTTGCACCACGTGCAGCATTTTCAATTTCTCGTTTAGATACAACCTCTACATTTCCATTAGCGAACTAATTTGGCCAAGCGGGACCTTTGAGACTAAAATAATGCAAACAAAAGCACCACCTGCCAACTCTAAAATACCTTCTGATAGAACGCCTCCAAATGAATCTTACTTAAAGTAGCACTAGGGGCCGGATTAGCAGCCTGAGCACCGTTCCCACTTGCATCATCGGTCTTGACTTTGGACAGCCGTTGAAAATATTCAGCTGATGCCGCCAACAGATTACCAGGTTGGGTTCTTATGATGTGCTTTGTGAATGATTTCAGTAGATCTGGTAGTTCTGGAGGTATGCGGATTTGTTCGGCACAGTAGATAGGACCGTCGTCTTCCTGTTGTGATGCTTCTACCTGCGACATGATTTGAACTTGCTGTTTGTTGGGTGAAGAGTAGGGTGCTAGATGGAGTAGAGAGACTTAAGGAGAGAGCATGTGAATGCTGACCGTTTATATTACTTACTATTTAGAAGGCGGCCCCCTTCCTTGTTCTCGGGTTTGTAAAGTCAATGCACGAACGAGGCAGGACAATCAGTCAAAACAAAAATGGAGAAATAGGCGCTTCAAGCAGACAGAGTTTATTTTCAAGAGTTGAAACTAATGCTTTAATGCACTATTAGAATGCGAAACGCGTTCGCTACGCTCTGATCCTGTCATCTGTTTTTGCTGCAAGCACTGATGAAAGAAATGACCAAGAGGCTGGCTACTGCCTCCACTGCCAAGCTGATACCTCCATTTACTCTTCAAACAGCCATTGCCAAGGTACAACGAGGCGAGGATCTCTGGAATACAAGGAATCCAGAACTTGTTGCGAAAGCTTACACTCCTGATTGCATGTGAGTCTCTGCTGACAGTATTGCCATTGGTGGACATTTATTGAAAGTTATCTGATTGGACATCGCTCTGCCTTGCTCTTTAGATGGCGAAACAGGCATCAATTCATCAAAGGAACATCTGACATCAAAACATTCCTTGCCCTAAAATGGAAGAGGGAACAAGACTACATCCTGAAGAAAGAATTATTCATTTTCTCGGATGATCGTATCGCTGTACAGTTTTGGTATGAGTATCATGATGGTCGCTATAATGTAAGATCCCAAGATCACGTGGATGGGTTTGACGATGCTAGCACGCTCTGACCGTGTTGTTGTTCTTAGTGGTTTCGTGCTTATGGACTCGAGCATTGGTATTTCAATGATGATGGACTGATGAAGGAACGACGAGCTTCAATCAATGATTTGGGAATCAAAGACTGTGACCGTTGGTTTGTGAATGGATCGAAAACTCGTGGTGAGGATCCAGCTGGGTAGTAGATTGTAGCCAAAAAATCAATGGATGTGGCATATATATATTCTTGTATTGATTCTAGAAATGACACAGAAGTTTGTATATCAACGGCCAAAAGTTAAATGTTTGCCAACCAGAAAGCAATAATTAGTTGAATTTTGCCGCATATACCTAAGACTCGCACTCATCGTCCTCAGCAAACTTGTGTCGGCGCCCGGACAATCCAGACCAACCAGCAATTCGTATTATACCGTGTCAGTTTTATTGCATTGATCTACATGATGAAGAATAAATTCATTCCACCGGGAATTCGCAGTGCTTAATCAGGGCCCCTATATACTGCTGGCTTCCCTCTCTGGGCTCTTGACTTTGGGCTTCCTGCCGCGTCTTCGATTTGAAGGGGTGAATTCACAGAAACCTCCACTCCTCTCGCATCTAAAAAAGAGTCATCGATTGAGTAATTTGGTCTTCTGATTGACATGGCATCTTAGAAGAATTAGAGTAATCTAATTGCTTGGCCTCCTTATACACAGTCACATCGGAACTTACGCCAAACAAGGATAGTCTCCGTTGCATCTAGATTGACAACATGACCGAGTCAGACGAGTGACATTCCGATCAGGATAAAAACATTCAAATCGACGTACCTCAGCTTTTTAAGACGACAGCGATTACACGCCTTTGTTACCCGCAACCTTCTAAGTGCGGGGTGATTTCAGTTTTTCGAGCTATTGCTTTCAGACCCCTGACTGATAAAAGCCACAGACAACTTACGTATCAGCTTTCGGCGACGGTTTCGGCGACGTCAATATCCTCCGGCCTGAAGCAGGTTGCTCTGGCAGTGGAGGCTGCATGATTGGATGCGATAACATTGATGGACGTGGAATATGCGATGTGGGAGGATGGGAATGTTGACAAGGCGGAGAGTGCTGACAATAAATTTCGGGCCTGCTGGGTTGAGAATACATCTGAAATACATTTGTCTGACGAGGTACACCTGGATCTGGTGTTTGTATTGGTGATAGCGAAAACTCATATGCGCGTGCATGCGTTCTAATATGTTGATTGTGCAGTGGTAGAGTACTAGGACGTATATCTTGCTGTATATGATGTTTTGCAGCTGGGAGCGGTAGTGGCTGGCTGTTGGGTTGATATAGCGGAGGCACAGACTCCCAGTAAGGTGTATTTGCATCTCGTGAAGGATATATTCGTGGATTATGACTGTGTATCAGTACTTGCGGCTCTAAATAATAATGTGGAGCTAATGGATCGTGAGTGTTTGATGTGATGTTTTCATTTGACACCAACGTCGGTGGAGATGATGGCAGTTTATAACGGGCTTTTGGAAGTTCGGACGATTTTTCAGTCGACATAGAATCCAGTTTAGCATTTAGATGGACATTGTTGGGAATTGTCTCTTCGGATGCAGGGTTCAGTAGCAAATGTAGGTCCATGACAACAAGTTATATATGATCATAGGTTGTGATCACAATGGTCAACCTGTTCAAACTACTGCAGTTTTACATACGAAGCGAGAAATTAAATTTTCAAGTCGTTCCATTTATGTATGCATGCTAACCTAATGGTGTCGACTTTGGTACCTCGTATGTTTGTAAACGCTTGGCAGTTGGGTTTGAGTTACCATGGTCCCGTCTCGGAAATTTATGAAATCTAAAAACACTATTTGCCTAAGCGCACTTTCCGTCTTTCCGATCTACAGTCTCCGAGTGTCCAAGGCGTTCTTCCATTCCGATGGACGTGCCGAAAGGCGTGTGAGGGAGCAGTGAGACGTGTGAATCGGGTATTGAGCATCATGCCACCTGTTGAACCCTTTCCCCAAACTACATAAACGACTATCAAGACCAATTGTGGTCCCTCGGCCGATAGCTACAAAGATTTATGTGTGTGTATTCGTGATTTATTTTGTTGGTGAGTATTACAGGTGTCTGTGTTCGTGGTTGCATGACTTCACGCTCCTACCTATCACTTTGCAGCTTTCAACTACTAGTCCATGTCCAAAGGTATGCTCCGTATGGCATGGCGTGTGTGACGAACGAATGCCTTGAGCACAAGTAGAACAAACTAGCCTAATCAAACAAAAGCCCGGCTTTGAGGGAGCTTGACGAAATATGTGAACGCTCTCTTCCTTTTTGGAGAGCCGCCGTTGCCGTGAGCTTCATCAACCTTGACATGAGTGTTTGGGGCTTCACTTGGTCCAAACTTTGTAGGCAGGTCTCGGCCAATGGTAACAGATAGGCATGGTGGGGAAGAACTGAAAGAGTTGACATTGCCTGCAAAGAAACAGCATTATTAATTTGCCTGCCCACATCAGGGAACCATGTGTCATATACCTTTACGGCACATTCGATCGATATCAAAGCGGTTGTTCCAATCCAGGACCTGTGAAACGAAAGAAATTACAAACCTGAGCGAAATGCGAATCTTGAAGTGACTTTGAAACTAGCATCTCACCATTCAGGATTTAGAGGCACAATCACGTCTTGAATAAAATTGCATATTAGCAGTGCGGAAACCTTGGCTGTCTTCACACATCGAGTTTGCAGGGCATCGTCTGGTGACATCGTTTTCAAGGCCAATATAATCCCAGGCTATATGACCAAGTATTGTAAGATTCAAGTTACGACAATCTAGCAGACACAGAAAATATACCTTTGAAATATCAATTAAACACGAGTTGTAAAAGAGGAAGCAAAACACCACATTCCATGGATTTTCTCCTAGTTGGGTCATCAGATTGAAAAGGTTCTGAAACCAGGTCCGAAGACCACCGTGCGCTGTCAGCCATTCCATGCACTCCAGTTTTATAAAGGAAGGTAGCTTTCGGTGAAAGTGACGGAGCCGTGCATACATCAAGGGCTGAAAGTCAAGATTTTGAAGAACCAGATGCCGCGCCAGAGTATCTGAATGCAGTGCGTTTGAGTCGGTCTTGCAATTCTTTCTTATCTGAAATATCAAAGTCGTTTCTCTACCTTCGGGGAATTCAGGCAGACTGTTTGGACGGAACCAGCCAAGAACATGCCAACTGTCCTTTGGGAGACAGAGGTTTAACATTGTTTCACTGACTTTTCAAGGCCACAAACGATGAAACTTACTGTGTTGTAGATAGTGGTGATCCTCGCTGAAAGTGAATGCAGTCTGTATATTTCGATGCATGCCTGATGGTAATCGAAAAGTTGAACACTTGCTGATCGGAGGTCAGCTTTAAGAATGTGAACATACCTGCATGACGTCCAATTTCTCTGGATCTTCTAGCACTACCGGCTTTTCACCAGTTTCTGGATCAGTAGCCATCCAAATTGCTTCCGAGCAAGGAAATCCCACACGAAAGACTTCGTCCATTTCTCGTTTTTCACGAAGAGTTATAGACATTGTGTTCGTCATTAATGAAAGCGCTCTTTCAAGAGGAAAAAGAGAGTACCAAATTCGTCGTCGTGTTTCCTTTTCCAGAAAAGTTTGTGGTTTTAATGGCCCTTGGTGTATGAGAATGTCCGGATCCACGTCCATCTGCAACCACATCATCATCCTAAAGTTCTTGCAATGTTAGTTGAATACAGCCATACTCGGAATCACAGTCGGAATAGGTCATAGAAACCTGGCAGAGAGCCCAAAAAATTCGAGACACAGATTGTCTAACGTAAATGATAAGCGAAAGTGGTTGTTGTGTCAATTGCGCGCGTATAAATTGGTTTTCATTTTGCATACCATAGCCGGCAAGAGAGCAAAAGTTTGAAAGTAGTGTGAGAGCTTGTACCGCTTCAGAAGTTGGATGCTTCAGCGCTTTACTCAAGAGGCCGCGACACTTTGCCACAAACGGTGCGCCCCTGTCAGTCGGAGACTTTCCAAGCTCTAAAACTGCTGCTTGAGAAGACACCGTGGCTCCTACAAATATAAACACCCGGGTCATTTTCCGTGTTTATAGCCAGGTATTCAATCATGACGTTTACTTACCGAGAGCGCAAACTGCGTTAACGAGTAATTCATTCGATTGCTTGAAATGTCTCAACCATGACGGTGGATGCAAGTAACACATTCTTGGACTGATTGGATAGTGATACACGAAAAAACATTCAAACAGTTCAGCGACATCGACTCGGTCGATTGGCTGCAATTGGACTATGTTTTCTTGTGTTAGAGGCACGTATTTCTGGTGTGTCAAAGTTCAAAAGGTTACTTTGCGGCGGAATGCGAACTTGGGAGGCAAAGGGCAGTGATCCGGGGAGAGTTGATATATGGAAGGTGAAGGGTCCTTCAGCGTCCGAGAAGCTCCATAACACACAAGGCCTGGTACTGTGTTCATCTAAAAATACTAGGTCTGCGCGTTGTTGTGGAGCAATGACACTATAATCACCACTCCAAAGGTCATCGTCAAAGCTTCCAGCGCGACTGGTTGTTGGTGGTGCCCACTCGCAATCCGACTTTGAGGCCTTGCAAGAGCTGCAGAGGGGCCTCTTTCCGTCACACTTTGGGTTGGCAAAAATTGGCCAATATGTGAGAATTGGGCAGGTATCATAAGCAAAACCAAAAAACCAAACTCCAGACCTCTTCTTACCCGTCGTTTGCGTTTCCTGCATTCATTGCACTACAAAATTGTCGAGTGATTATGTTAGCCGACCGAACCAAGATGAACAGATGATAACGAAATCAATCGATGGTAGACGCAATCAGAAAAACGACTCACAGCTTGCAGTACACGTATCCTCCCGTTCTGCATGTTGAGACCAGATGCTACCTGGTTGGCTTGTAGTTAGTAACGCGACTACAAAGTCAAACAAACCATAGGTCCACACCAAATCGTCACTAGGAAACAAGAGTGTGCCTGGACATAAACAATCTTTCCGGAATCTTATTTTTCGTTGTTTGCTGCGGACGGATGTGACGACGCTTAGGAAGCACACTTTCCTGTCACACGTTGAAACGAGAACCCAGCATATAGCTTGTTTCTACATTTATGCAAAGGTCTTTGGCCAGTGCAATGTTAGAAATTGGATTCAGAGTGGCAGAA